CCCCCCCCCTTTTTTTTTTTTCCTTAATTTTGAGATTTGATCTCACCAAGTTGCTCAGACTGAGCTTGCATTTAAGATCTCCTGCCTCAGCTTCCCTGAGTGCTTGGATTATGAGCTTGTGGTGCCATGCCTGTCTCCTTACATCACATTCTGGGGTCCCTCCCAGTTCTTTAAATTCCGTGAGTCTTACACCCAAGGAGAAGATAGTCTAGCCTGTTGCAAATCCCTCTAAAGTACGATTTGAGAAGTACTCAAACTCTGTGTCAGTGTCATACTCTCGTAACAGAAAGGTTAATAAGCCAGAATTAATGTCCTTGGTAAATTATTTTCCCTTGAGGCAGGATCTTGCTAGCGGAATCTGACTGGCAGCCTCCTGAGTGCTGGAATTACAGGAATATGTCACCACACCTTGTTGGCTGTTCTTTGTAACCCGTGTAACACATACCATATACATTATTTCTATGAACCAAAGGATAACTTAAGTTTTCATTTCAGAAATGTGTCTTCTGCGAATGACGAGAGCAAGACGCTCACAAGTTGAGCAGCAGCAGCTCATCAGCGTTGAGAAGGCCCTTGCAATCCTCTCTCAGCCCACACCCTTACTTGTCGTGGACCATGACCAATTAAAAGTAAGAGCCCTGAAACTGTCATGCTCTCAGTGTACACATTAGGGACTTTTGGGCACTAATTAGGGACCAGGGGCAGACCGACAGCATAGGAATCACATGAGAAACTGAAACTTTCCTGCTTATAGCTTCCTTTACCACCCTTCTCTTTCCCTGTGCTACATAGGAACTATATCTGATGTTCTGTGACAGGGCACCAAGGGAGAATAGCCAAGCAGCTCCAAAACTCCAACTTGAGCTGTTGAGATTGTGCGGGGCGTACTGGGGATCGAACTCAGGGCCTTGCACTTGTGAGGCGGGTGTGGTGCCACTGAGCTACATCCCCGACCTGAAATTTTTTTGATTCATAGAGCTATGAGCATTTTTCAAGATCAATTATTTGATAGCTAACAGCTTCAGTGTTTTAGAAAAAGGTCCTCTTGGTGCAGGGGTGAATCTGAAGGAACAGCACAGGAGAGCTTTTCGGTTCTGAAGGAGCAGATCTCCTGTGCTAAGTCTGTGCTGACTGGAGAAGAGCAGTTCCTCAAGAAAATCTGAAAATGGGCCAGGGATTTGGCCCAGTGGTTCTGTCTCCTGCCTTCTCACAAGCACAAGGACCCGAGTTCAATCCCTGGTACCAAAAAAAAACAAACAAACAAACAAAGAAAGTCTGAAAACCCCATAAGAAATACATGGCACTGAACACCCTTGGAAATCTCCTGACCTTGAGAATAGGAGCTTTGTAGGGCCCATGTTCTTGGGCTTAAAGGCAGCAGTTATTGCTGTACTGAGCAGCTGCAGAAAACCTTCCAGCTCTGCCCTTCTGGACATGCAGGTGTATCATGTAGTCAGTCACAGGCAGCCATTCATTGAATCCCTCTCTCTCTGTGGTGGCATAACCATCAGAAGGGGCTATGTGGAGTAATGTGTGGTGTCCACTGGGTGTGCAAGAAGTCACGACCTCCTAAGAGTAGATGGACATACATAGAGGAGTGGTCCGAGATGACTAAAATGTTCAATTACAGGTTTTAATATACTTCTCTTTCTGTTTTCATTCCTTATTTCGTTCTTTTTGGGGTAAACCCAAGGTCCTCCTGCTGAATCGCATCCAAAGCCTTTTCTTCTTTTTTTGAGTCTCAATTCAGTTGCTCCTGCTGGGCTCAAACTTGGCCATCTTTCTGCCTCAGCCTCCTATGTGCCACCACTCCCAGCTTCCTATACCTTGTTTTTATGACCATCAGCTAGCATTTCAGTTTTTACTTAACTGTATCACCTCAACCTAGTAGGGCAACACTTCAAAAACTTCAGAAATTCAGTGACTTTATCACTTCATTGAGGAAAAAAATGCCTAGTTGGAAAATTCTAAAAACAGCAAAGCAAAAAAAAAAATCCTGAAGTGGTAAAATAGTTCACCATTTATGTAGTTAGTACCTTTTAGTTTCACATAATGAAATTAATTGAATTAATTATAATAAACTATTACCAGGTCTTGTGTTAATTTTTGCTTCAAAAGATGCAATAGGGCTTATTTTCAGGGTGTGCCTTATTTTTTTCTTGGACAACAATCTACATTTATGTACTAAAAAAGCTACATTTATTAAAACACAGTCCTGTCATCTTGTAGAAGAACTTCATCGTAACTCCAAACGCTGAATTCTGGCCTGAATTTCTTGCGGCTCCATTTCCTGTGGAGCCATGGTGAGCACTGCTGCTCCGTGCAGCCTGCTCATGGCACAGGCCATGTAGCTTCCAGCGACTTCATCCTGAGAGTTCTTCGCCCACATCGCCCACAGCCCCCTGTAGGCTGGGTCAACAGTTAGTGTTACCTGCAGACTTCTGAGATGGGAGTAGCAAGAGAAATGACCACAGTTAAGAGTGATGGTCCCGGGGCTAGGGATATAGCTCAGTAGTTCCGCTGCCTGCCTCACAAGTGCAAGGTCCCAAGTTTGATCCTGGTACCCCAAAAAATAAAAGAATGTTGGTCCACACATAAGTGACAAAAACTTGCAGGCACCAAAACTCAGAAAACGTTTCTTCATTTCCATCGAGTGCGTTAAGTACACCTGTTACAGCACAGGGTGTTGGGTTATGAGGGCTCACATCAGACACACTTAAGGCTCTGGTTGTCAAGTGCTCGCCATTTGTGCATCCTGTCTTTCTGTTTGGCCTTTCAGAGTCTGGACCTTATCTGTGTAGAGTTGCCCACTTGGGCATTTACAAATAGTTATGATTTGAATCATGTATTTTGAGTAAATTCAGTACTTCCGTTATGTGCTTATATTACAAGCATCTGAAAAATCATGCTAAGACCTATTTTCCAGTTATGTCTTATTTTCAAGAAAATATGGTAGCCTTGAACTCAGCCCAGGCTGACCTGACCTTGATCATGCAGAGCTCATCCTGCCTTGACCTCCGTGGTGCTGGGATCATAGGGTGTGTACCACCATGCTGGCAGCTGCTGTAGAGGGTTATGACTAGAATTGTGATGTCAAACTCCTCAACTGTAGTTTTGTTTTTGCTTCCCCCTCCCCCCCAGCACCAGGGATCAAACTCAGCACCTTGTGCTTGCCAGGCAAGGGCGGTCAACTGTAGTTTTAAGGACAGGCATCGCCAGGCCAGAGCCAAGATTGCAGAGTAATGGTAACGTTCCATGCCCCTGTGAATTAACTGACAAACACTGGAAGCTTGTCTGAGCAGAGCCCCATAAGGATGGGCCCTTTTTCCTCACTTAGCTGCTGATCACTCACCAACTTGACAGTTGTCTTCTGTCAAAGAATTTGTCTCATTTTCTTAAACACTGGTGGTTTTTTTTTAGAGTCTTTTGAAGACTGTTGTTAGAAAAAGCGAAGCCTACAATATATTTCAGCTGGAGAACTTGTACGCAGTGATCAGCCAGTGTATCTATCAGCATCGCAAGGACTACGACAAAACAGCACTCATTCGGGTAAACTGTTGGTTATGTGTTTAATGAAGATGTACAGCTCCTTTTCAGATAGATTGTTTTGTTTTGTTTTTTGAGAGAAGGTCTTGCTGTATAGCTCTAGTCTGGAATGAACTCACTGTGTAGGCCAGGGTGGCCTCAGACTTGTGGAGATGCTCCTGCCTCAGCCTCCTGAGTTCTGGGATTACAGGTTGTGCTCCCACCGCACCTAGCTTCACATCCATTTTGGTTTGGTTTGGATTTTTGGTACTGGGGATCTAACTCATGAGCTTGTGCTTACAAGGCAGACACCATGCACTGAGCTAATCCCCGGCTAATTATTGAGCTTTAATCTCCAGCCCTTCAGATAGATTTTTAAAGAGAGACCTACATGTCTTTAATCAGTCTTTGTAGACAGTATTAAAGGGCTAATTTTTTAAAAATAGACTTTGGATAATATATGCCAGCACTACCTACAAGGTATAAAATGGGACCTGCCACATACCCAGGAGTATGTGATATAAAATCCTATCAGTACACCCGCCTCACCTCATGGCTTGGTTGTATAAAACATCTTGGAGAAGTGAGGTGAGCAGCCAGCCCACTTTCTGGTCCCCCTTCTGTCTGTTAGACAGAAGCTTTCTTACCCTCAATAAATTTTTCCTACTCTTTAAAAAAAAAATTCTCTCAGTAAGTTTATGTGAGTCTTATGTACTGAGCTAAATTTTTATTTTCAGTGTTAAATATTTGCATAAGTACTGTCCTTAACAGTGTTTATTGGGGAAAAATAATGAAATTATGTTCTTTAATTTTTTCTCTAAAACTTACTTTTTTTCTCTCTCTCTACCCTTTATATAGAAAATGGAGCAGGAAGTAGAAAACTTCAATTGTTCCAGATCATGATGGCATCCTATCAAGTATTTTTTATGTTCAGATTCAATTTAATTACCTTTCATGTATCCTCAGAGTAATTGATGCAAGATGAAATCCTGCATCTCACAGGAAACAATTGAAACAGGCAAACATATTTAAACTTTCCTGATAGTTATGTACATGTGTACGGTAGTTGACAAACACCATAAGCTTGTTTGAACAAGGCACTATAATAATAATAGTTGACATTTAGCCAGCTTTTTAAATCTGAATGTTAAAAACATGATGTTATCTCCATTTCAAAGTCCTTGATGGGCTTATGATGGTCAGATGAAATGATTTTTTTTTTTGCACGGGGATTGAACTTGGGACTTTGCACTTGCAAGGCAAGCTGTGGCACCACTGAGTGGAATCCTAGCCCTAGCCAGCTTTTTTTTAGTAAAGCTGTTTTGTGGTCCTGGTGCCTCGCGGCACTTAGGATTACTTAGCAGTGATGAGTTGTGAAGTACACACTGCGACTCCCACCCCGGTCACCATCACCACCGCCTGGCTCTTGCTTCAGTGGCCCTCGCCCCTCCCTGAAATGCCAGAGTCCAGGGCACACAATCATTCTCTACTTGAGTGTCACAGTCAAAGCTTTTTAGATAGACAATTTTATAATTCTAATTTGGGTTAATAAAGATTTTTTTTATTTTCTGCTTTTATAATTATATACAAAAAGAATGACTACCTTTCCTAAAGGTCTTTAATAACACAGTTTTTATATTTGAAAAGTGTTTATATCTTTCTGTAATTGTGCTTAGATTTTATTCTATAGATACCTTTTGTATACAAATATATAAATATAAAATGTATTACTGATACCAAAAAATATACTTCTTAAAGCTAAAACCATTGCCTCCGCATGCAGTTTTTTCTGTGGGTGGGGTAAACATTTCACTTTTAGTTTGTAAGAGAGCTTCTGTTGGAAGCCTGGCTTGCAGGTAATAGGGAACAGGAGCCTGCAGCAAGGGTCCTGTGCACCTGCTGGTTGAGCGGTGGGCTAGGCATGCGCCCAGGGCCTGCATGTGTAGACTTGGGCCACAGCTGAGCCAATCCTCTGGCCCTAGATTAGGTTTTGATTCAGTTCGAAATGGAGCTGCCTTTGTTATTTACATATCAGCTGGATATTTAAGCTTTGTAAAACCCAGTAATTTGAAAACCGTAGTAGATGCTCTTATGTAATCCATTTAAAATGCCAATCACTGAGAACATTTAAATATGTGCATTTTGGTGGAGATACACATTCATACTAATTTTTATTGAGCTTTATTATGTTGTTCTCCCAGATGCATCTTTTATAACTAGGATTTTATTTTGTATGTACGGTTTTTATAATAAATTTGTAAGGTGGACATTTCTCAATTGTTTTTATTATTTTAAAACAATTTAGTACAAAAAAAATGCAAAAGCTGTTCTTTCATGTATCATTGTGCATAATTTACAATGCTGTTGACCTGCCAGATGTGGTGCCACACACCTGTGGTCTCAGCCACTTTGAAGGCTGAAATAGAAGGGTTGCTGAGGCCCAGGAGTTTGAGATTCATGGGCAACATAATCAGACCAGGTCTCAAAAAATTACATACAGTGCTGGGCATGGTGGCGCACGCCTGTAATCCCAGCACTGGGAGGCTGAGGCAGGAGGGTCACTGTGAGTTCGACACCAGTCTGGACTGCACAATGAGTTCCAGGTCAATCTCAACTACATAGTGAGACCCTGTCTCAAAAAAAAAAAAAAAAAAAAAAAAAATACATACATACATACATGCTGCTGACCTTGAGTGTTTGTGTGGTGCCCGCTCTTGTGCTGCAGAGAATGAAGCGCTCCCATTTGTGTGTATAGTGTGAAGACTTGGTTGAAATTGCAAAGTTAGAATAGTATGTTTTTTTTTTTTTTTCCTCTAAGATGACATCTTATCTGGAGCAATTAGTGGGAAAAAAAGTTACCCAAATTGGAAAGGAATATTTCTAGTGTGAAAATAATAATTGCAAATTTTCTGATCTTGTAGGTAAAAAGCCCTAAAGAATCCACCAAAAAAAATGTTAGCACTAATAAATGAATTAAGTAGTTAAAGGATAGAAAGCATATAAAAATCTATTATATAAGCCCTGAATCCAAGAAGAAATTGAGAAAGCAAGCAGTTTTACTTGCAGTGGCATCTAAAACAGGAAGAAAGGTGCTGGATTTATACACCAACTACAAAATTGCTAAAAGGAATTTTCAGGAGATCATAACTAGTCTTAGAGTATAATACAGGATATTGGTAAAGTGGCAGTGAACCTGAAAGCAATCTTCAGTTATTTTAAATTCCATCAAAATCACAGTCACTTTTTTTTTTTTTTTTTGGTACCAGTGATTGAACTCGGGCCCTTGCACTTGCGAGGCAGGCCACTGAACCTCTGAGCTAAATCCCCAGCCCTTAGTCACTTCTTGAAAAATAGGAAAATCCACTCCAAAGTTCCTAAAGAATTATAAGATACTCCAAGTAGCCCCCCTAGAAATTTTTTTGGGAAAAGAACTGGTTCACTTTAGTTTTGTAGTTTACTGCAAAGCTATCCTAATTGAAACAGTGTGGTGCCTGCATAAAAATAGGCATGCAGATCCATGCCATGGAAGAGAAAATTCCAGTTGGTTTATGGCCAGTTGGTTTGGGGGGCTTTTTTCACAGTCTTATTATCTTAGGCTGGCCTTGAACTCACTGTGTAGCCCAGGCAGGCCTCAAACTTGGGGTGATCCTCCTGCCTCAGCCTCTGTTGGAATTGCGCAGTGTGTCACCACACCCAACTGGTCAATTGATTTGTTGTTAGGTAGGTTTGGTTTGGCTTTTTTGAGACAGGATCTCCCTGTGTAGTTCAGACTGTCCTTGAACTTACTGTGTAGCCCAGACTAGGCTTGAACTCAGTGGCGATCCTCCTACCTCAGCCTCCTGAGTGCTGGGGTTCTAAACATGCACCACTACCACCAGCTTGGTCATTTGACTCGGGGGGGGCGGGGTACAGGATATCAAACTGGGGACCCAGGCAGCACCACTGAGCTAAATCCCTGGCCCTGGTCAACTGATTTTGACAAGGATACCCAAGTTCGTGAAATGGAGAAAGGGCAGCCTTCAAAAACAGTATTTGGAGCTGAAGTTTTCTTTAAATGGTGTTTGAACAATGGGATATCCACATGCCAAAAAATGGGAGTTCTGTCATCACCTCAATATTGTAGAAAAATGAATTACTGGGGTTTTCTTGAGGAATAGAATCAGTAGAAAATGCATGTGACTGCAAGGTTTACTAGGTGGCTTACGGGTTCAGAGGCCGGAGTCCACAGCGTTGCCTCCAGAACCAAAGCCGGTGGGTCCACAGTGCTGGCAGCCACAAGCAGCTGAACCATAGGGCCTGCCTGGACGGAATGAGGCTGGTATCCCAAAGGGAGGGCAGCCCGGCAGGCGCCGCCCACCGGGTGGGCCCCCTATGTCATCGGGACCCAGAGCTGCGCTTTACTGGTGGCCGAGGAGCGCACATCCAGAAACTCGGGTGAGGGCACCGGTCCCGGGCGAGGGCCGAATCTCTCCTCTCCGTCCGGCTGGACTGTGGGCAGGGACTTCGCTGGTGCCTGACGATGTTGCACGCTTCCATCATAGCAAAACGTGGCCCTGCGACCAAGTGCTGGGCTGCGAGTTACAAAGGGAAGCGAGCAGTGTGCGGAAAAGCTTTTTGGAAGAGAAAGGATGCAGGCATTTTCTGCTTTCCGCGCTTCCTTTTGCCTCTCTGGGAGGCGTTCATATGGAATTGCATGCATGTGTCATCGGAGCTGGAATTCCCTGAGCCGTCTCGCACAAGGAAAGGAAGCAAAGGATGGGAGTCGGGCCGATGCGGTGCCGTCCAGAGCGGGAGAGGGAGGGGAGTGATCAGAACCGTTGGGTAAGACCCGCTTCAGAATCCATCCGTGCCCACTGAGGGCATTCCAGCATTGTAAGGTAGGCACGCCGAGGGTTGGCAGGGAGTGTCAGGGCCCTGGGGGGTGGGTACCTCAGGAACACAGTCTCTACATTCTGTCTGGGGGCCTAAGCTGGTCCCGAAAGACCCTGTGTCAGACAAGACAGGGTGCTGAGGTGGCAGGTCGACCTGGGTTATTCTGGGGAGGCCTATGTCACCTGTGGCCTTCCAAAAGGGAAATGGAGGTTTTGCCCAGAAGACGCCTGACGACAAAGCCAGAAGCAGCAAGAAGCAGACTCTCCCTGGGATCCTCAGAGGATTGCAGTGCTGCCATTCAGGCCTCCAGGGCTCTGAGCAGAGTTTTGTGTTTGTACAACATTCACAGAAAAGTCTTGTCAATAATACAGACTTGGCCTGGCAAGCGTGGAGTCCTGAGTGCGATCCCCGGTACCAAAAATAAAATAATGCAGCCTTACATGGACCCAGATGTGCAGCATTATAGACAACGCCCCTCTCATTGCCCAGCATTTGTTCACACCCTGTCCTTTACCAGCAGTTTCCTCTCCCTCCCTCACACACCTCTTGCTGACTACAGGAGACATCCGGCATGGTTCCGGAAGAGCTCTAAGGAGTGGGACTCTGCTCAGGCAGTCATAGGAGTCAGCCACCCTCAGTAGAGAGCAGTGAACTGTAGAGTGGACCTGTGGAAACAACAGGGACACTCCATCTCTGAAATGCAGAGAGATTTGTGTACACCTCTACCACGTATTCATGTCAGACTTTGTAATACTTGCTTATTAAAAAGTATGAGATGGTGTCTGTTGTGGCCTTGACTTCTACTGGCCCAGTCATCGATGACTTTGGACGTTACATGTACGCCTCTAAGTGAAATCCTTAACATTGAACAGCACTCTAGGAAATATCTTTTCCTCTAAATACCTTCAAGACAAGGACTGTAGTGAGAAAAGTGCCACAGACATTTGCTGAATGATTGAATTAATGTTGGAGACAAATGTTAAAACCACAGTGACAAATGGTAAAACACTGGAGGAATTACAGTTGTCTACAAGTGACGGTGGTGAAAAGGACAGCCGCTGTAACCCGCCAATAGATGTGGGTTCTCAGAAGAGGGAAGATCGCCATGTGAGACAAAGGTGAGGCCAGAAATGAAAAGCAGCTTTGAATCTTGTCTTTTCTCATTGCTGAGACAAAATTCCCAAAGCCCAAAGTTAAAAGAGGAAAGGATTACTTAGCTCACAGTTTGTAGAGGTTTCAGTCCATAAGGCTGGCTCCAAGGCAGGGTGGCACAGCAGAGGGGCATCACAGAGAAACAGTTCATGTCAGGCCTAAGCAAAAGCAAGCAAGGGGCCTCAACTCTTTCTGTCCCTTTTGTTTTATTCGGGCTTTAGGGCAGCAGCACTCACACCCTTAATCCTAGTGCCCTTGAGCCTAGCACTGCACTGTGAGTCACTCCCAGCACACACTCTGGGTTCAGCCACCTCTGGAAAGCCCCACGTATGACCCCCTGAGGCTTTGGGGGGACAGCCAGACAAAGTCATAACAGATCTTTGTTTTTTTTGTTTTGTTTTTCAATTTTATATAAAAGAGAATTTCTCACTTCAGAATAGGAATACTACAGATTTCAATACCAAAGGACATTTGGCCAGCAAGAAGGTCACAGCTGGAATAGGCAGAAACGCACCAAACTGCTCTTACAGAGGGGC